ACATCACCGGTTCGCGTACGATCGTGGAAGTTAAGCAACGTAGAGCCTTGTTTGTACTTAGATGTGTAACCGCTTGGGATTACCAGCTGCTGTAACCTTGGATGTGTCAGGGTTATAATGGATTGTTAAAACGTGTTAAACGGACTGCCGAGTCCCAATTTCCGTCGGGTTTGCTATATTCATTTGAGCACAAATAATATTGGGAAAGTTATGAATCAACCTCTTCTCTACTCCCAGCTATGGGTTAATTATTAAGACTTGTAACACTAAACCATTATCATCTACTTCCAAAATATTCTTACAATTTAAAAAATATTTTCTTGGTTTTAATAACCCTCATTTTCCCACCACAGAGAACCCTCCCTGCCTCCCATCAGAATGGCTGATGCCAAACTCCAAGATAGCGTCTCGTTGCACCTGCTTGGTTTCAAGCATTCCGCATAAAAGAGGTGGAACAAATACATTGAATCATTAGCTTCATCTACCGCAAGGAAAGTTGGTTCTCTGTGTCGTGTCCGAAAGTTTTTTCTCGTCTGAGTCGATCCTTCAAATCTATAAATCAACCTTCCGTCCTTGTATGGAATATTGCTGTCATATATGGTCTGGTAAGTCTCGAGGTCATCGACAAAATCCAGAGACAGATATGCAAAGTGATAGGCCCTGATCTGGAATCTAGTCGCTTTCTCACAGACGTGTCGTGGCTTCCCACTGTCTCTTCTATGGATAATTTCACTGCAACTGTTCCGAAGAATTGCTTCACTGGTTCCCAGATTGCATGAATTTTAGCGAGCTACTAGTTCGGCATTTCGATCCCACCCTTTCACTGTTGAAACGGTTAAATGTAACCGTCTCTTCTACTCAAACAGCTTTTCCCCTCGCACTTCCGGTCTGTGGAATCCTCTTCTTATTTGCTTCCCTGATAATTATAATCTTCAAATATTCAAGTGTAATGTCAATCGATATCTTCTGTTGCCTTGATTTTGTTCCCCGTTCTTCTCTTTATTTTCTCTTCAAATACGCCTCTTTACTCTTGTTCTCTACTCTCTGTAACCCCTGCGTGCTCATGACACTGCCGCCTTGTTTGGGGGGAAATGTTTAAGAAAAAAGTCGACAATGTTGTGCGACTTTGCAGGACATGTTAATATTTACATAAATATATTTTATGAATATAAACTTAGATATTTTAGAGAAGCGAATTGAGAATTTTATGTGGATTTTCTAAATTATGTTTAAGTATTTTTCTGTATGGTTGCAAATTTAAATTTTTTAATCTTCCTTTTTCGGTGACTGTTTAAAAAATATCGAATTTAATATTAAAAAAAATGTCTTGCATACTAATATATAACAGTGTATGTGGCGGAGTTGTAAACTTTGAATCATATAACAACAAAATGCTACATCTTCAGTCATGAAGAATACAAAACTAAGTGTACGTAGATGAAGGGGGTGAACCGCTAGTAAATTAGCAAATGGCATCGATTTTACAATATGAACCATTCGTAGCTGTGCAAACGCGTTTCCGCCTTACGACAATAAAATTATCACTCATTTTGAGATTCAAAATGATAAGAGATTCCAGACCAGAAAACCGGATCTAATTTATTGCAAGCCGCGAAAAGTAAATTTTATTGATATTTGATTTTTCCCAATAAATACTAGAACTAAATTAAATTAAAAGAAAAGAAAAAAATATAATACGCGAAAATATTAGAGAAGTAAACAATTTGTGGAATCTGTAATGGTGTCAGTTATGTCTATCGTTGTTGGAGAGCGAAGAACAGCCACGGGGAGTAGATATAATTCTTCGTTTACTTATAGAGGATGCGATGGATAAATCGTCAAGACTACGCAAAATGATAATAATATCGACATCTCATTTTAAGAGATATACTTACCAAAATAACAAAAAGCTATCTTGAAATACTAAAGAATAAATTTATTCAAAAAAATCGCCATTGGCTTCATTGGCTTACGATGTAGCATGTGGTCGTAGAAACTGTAGGACATCCATGACTGGTTTCTGCTGCTTGTGTGCCATGATGCAGAATCAGACATAGGGTTGCCAGATATAGGGTCTTCACACAAACCACCCTCTTAACCCAGTGTAGCACTACCTCCTCAACTCACTTTACGCCAGCGTCTGTGTTGTCTGTGAGGCTCTCATCAACAAATTCAGGAGTTCTTTTCTTAGGAGAACGATCAGAGTTAGATTTCCAAGCTGCTATGCCTTCGTAATCGCCATTAGGCTCTTTGGGAATCTTTTGTACTGTCCTCAGATTGACACACAAATATTCTGCAATATTCATAGTGGAGCTTCTGTCAAACAGTACAGCATGCCGTTTCCAAACTTGTGGCAGATTGATTTTGGTCATGGTGTTGTTTTTCACACAGACAGTGGCCAACTGGCCTTACTATACTATGTAGCCACCAACAGCAAAAAATGTAACAGTTTTCCTATCGTAACGTGTATGTCCTGGGTCCTTTCAGGTTGCCGGTGATCCAGATAATGGTAATGGTAATATTACCAGTTTCCCTCCATGGAAACAACTGATAGTCATTGACCCGTGAAGCGTGTAGCGCCTTCGTTTGAAATTTTTAAAACATCCTCATATTAAAACAATATTTTCAGGAAAACAGCATTCTATATCCCACTAGATTTTATCACAATTTCCAGTATTGATGTGAGTTCCACTCCCAACATTTTATGTCAGGTGGTGGTAAAATGATAACATCTTGATTATGTCATTATTTTCACATCGAGTTACAGTTACTATGCAATTTAGTTGTTGCTGCTATTGGTTGTCCTCAACAGATGTAGTTTCTGTTTATTTGTTAGAGTTCTTTATTTGTTCTGGAATTTGCCGATGAAGAGATGTTCAAAGAGGGTGGATATTTGCCAAGACAATCTGGTTTTCGCTGGAAGCCTATTTTTGTTCGAATTGATAATAGCAGGACAGACCGGGTTCTATAGCCTTGGTTGGGCTAAGACTAAACGTGAAAATCTTGTTCAGAAAAGAAAGTGTGGATATTTGCCAAAACAATCATGGTTAATAAATTTTTATCGGCTTAAATATATATATCATTCTTAAGCTGGAAAAGCCAAAGTATTTTTGTTTTAAAAATTTTTTACTCATTCTTATCAGGTGAAATTTTATTTAAAAAAAGTTGGTTCGAATATGCCATTTTTTTCGAGTTCGCTCGTTTATTTTTGGTACAAAAATCGTTTTTCAAAATTTATTTGCAAATACAAATTTAAAGATTGGTTAAAATATTTTGAATGAATCCATCTTTTCGAATAAAAAAGCGAAATAAAATGGGTTTAATAGCAGTGACAAGACCGGGTCATCACATATCGACAGTTCACGTGAGATTCGCGTTAAACAGACTGACGTAAGACTGAAAGATAATAAAACAAAAAACAACCTAATTTGTTATTTTATTATTACTGGAACTTAAAACATAACTTTGTTGATACTATCTATTGAAAAATCTTTGTCTTGTTATTACAAAAAGCAGAATCGTTGTAAAAGGAAAATGAAATGTGATCATTCTAGTATATTCGAGGTACAAATTAATTGATTGATTGTAGTATCAGATTTGATAGTTTAGATATTTGCCGACCAACCAAAACCCAAAGAGAATTTCATCAAAGTTGGTAAATAGAATTTTTTGCAAACTAAAATTAATATTTATTTATCCTTTTTTTTTTTCGACAGCAATTGTTTATCCTGTATATGTTTTGTTCTGTTTTCCCCCTCTGTGTTTTGGTATCTATTTATACAAGCTCGTTCCGTACTTTTTTAATGACAACCCAGTACACGCAGTTTTTTTTATTTTCCTCTCTTCAATATATTTTTCAGAAAATAGTGTAATAGAACAAATAAAAAAGGGTCGATTTAAAATTTTTAAAGAAATGAGAAACAATTGTATTAAAAAAATTCTTCATTGAAAAGTTTTATTTCCCTCGAACAAATAAAAACAAATGCGTTTGAGATTAAATAGTATATTTGTTGTTATTGAGTTTTTTGAGAAGATTCCGATGGTATGGAATTTTTTGAGTTTTTCTGATTCAATAAAAAAAAAATATTTCTGGACTTTAATAAAAAAACATAGTAATAATTCATCATTTTGAATATTTTCTGAAAGTTTCATTTTGACCAAAATTTTCCAAAAACAAAATTTATCTATGTTCATTGCTCGAAAAAGATAAATGTTTTTTTTTCGAATACCATGGAATTCTTTGGTATTCTTCATTTTGACGTAAAGAACCACATCTTTTTTCATCAGTTGCTTCTTTGTAATCTGATTGATTGGAGAGTTTGATATTTTTAACAATTAATGGCAACAGAAGGAGACCGATATTGCAAAGAAAACAAAAGAATTATAAACTTGAGTAAGAATCAAGAGACTGCAGGCGATAGCATTGACGTTATCAGAAGAGTTCTTTTATTGATAAGGAAGCGTGCTGCCACTTGATCTTCTTAGCAGCGACCAGTTCGTATTAAGATGGATAATTATGATTATAGCTAAAATTGAAATTTCTGTTTTATCATTTTCATTATTGACTGCGTCAAACTTTCTTTTCAGGATTCTGAAGTATTGCACGCAGATTTCCATTCTTAGGAAACCGATATGATTAACGAGTTCTACTTTGTTTGGCCTCCTATTACATTCAAGGAACTTCTTAAATTGCTTTCCTTTACCGCCTTAAAGGCATTTCTTTTTCCATCTATTTCCACTTAATCTAAAAATCTACTTTTTAAGGTTTCGATAAAATGAGGGAGACTCTTCGAAATAACTCATGCTATGGTAACAATGAAAATTCTTAGCAAATACTCCAGCAATCGAGAAAAACGAAAAAACTAGATGTCCTAAAATACTTCATTTATATTTTCATGTTTTTAACTATGGTAAAAAAAGAAAACAGTTCACCTTGGATAATATTCACAACTACTTTGCGTATTAAAGCAAAGTAGATTTTTTTAAGTGTAAATCTGGAATACCTCAGTAGACATAATTGAATTCTCAGTGAAAGTGTCCCTGGAAAAATTTCTAAAATATGAAAATGCATTTTTTTCTTTCGAATGCATTAACA